GTTAATATTCATCATGGAATATTTTAATTATGAATTTTATTGCACGTGAAACGAGCAAGTATTTTGTGACAAGTTAATTCCGTCGCGGGAGGTCGTGACCCGCCCTGCCGTACACAAAAAACGCGTGCCAAGTCCTGACGTCACAATCGTCGATGACGTTAGAATTAAATATGTATTTTTAGCACTAAGGCAATTTATTAACGTCTAACTGTGTAACCTGTCGCTAGCACGCAATGAGTTTGATATCACAAGTAAATTTACATACATATACATCACGCCAGTAATCTCCGAGATGGTGCGCAGAGTCCAAAGAGCAGCGAGCCATTTGGACCATGTAGCGAAGGAAGTGTTGATTGCTTGCCCATCGCATGCACACAATACCAATATCCAATTAGTCGCCTTTTACATGCAAGGCAAGTATCACAGGTGGCACATTGTTTTTTGTTATGTTATGTCATGTTTTTGGTTTTTAAGTCCCCACATAAACAAGGGACCTGTAATTCCCAGACCAACATGGGACACAAGTATGTACATCTAATTGTGGCAAATAATTCTGTGACCTGGTGCTAAAAGGGCCAAAGTACGTTTTTATTAAACGCACCATTATGGAAGATAGATGTAATTTATGGGGGGAAAAAAAACCACCACACGGGCCCGGGGCGTTCCCACCATAAAAAAAAAAAGTACACGTACTGTACAGAAGCACATTATATTTTATTAAACAGTATACATTACAATGCTACACATTACAATGCCCTTTTTTAAAGGCTATCAATAAACAGTCAATATCATATTTTAAATTTTTAGCACAAACAAATTTCATGTTTTTCAGTAATATGGCTTTAAAATCTCATTTCTTAAAAATCGCACAGAATTAAATTTACATAATTTCAGTAGCATAACCTATATTAAAAGGTGATAATGAATATAACCTGGTAGTTATAGCTCTGTCCCAACTTGTAGACACCGTTTATAAGCCACGCTTGGCCGAAGGTTTTACCATTACAATACCAATCCCTTCTCCTCTTAGATGACACTGTCCTCTTATGAATATATAGTTCGTCTTTGGTTGGTTAGCTTACAGATACATTCGAAAATTTTCGCAGATAACTCACAGAGTAGAGCCTACGAGTGATTGATTGAGTGAGTGCTTTCCTTAGTCTTAGGTTCATCGCTATAAATCACGAGACGGTGTTCGGCATTTGGGTTTGGGTTAGTCAGAGTCACCCAGTGTCACCATATTTCTTTCATGTAAATGTTATTTTACACCTGGTCATAAGTGGTGATAAAGATTAGGACTTTAAATAAAACTTTTACCATTAACATTTAACATTCTCCTATAGTAACAAAAGCCTATTCATTTCTTAAATTATTTCATGCCTTAAAGGCGCCCAAATAATAGTCATAAAAATTTAATTTAAAAAAATTAAAGAGTTAAGGTACGTAATGGTCAACAGTTACCCAAGGACCTCTATTAAGATATTAATGACCAGTCTGGGCAATTTATGGTCCAGTCTTTTGAATTAATTATTCTATCTCCTATGGATATATTATATAGTCTTCATTATCCTGTTCAACAGCCCGTCAAAGTCCACGGGTCTCTCCCTGCACCGTGAAAGGCTGAAAGGGGAAGATTAGTCTTAATCGTCACACACGGTAGATAGACCGACCGTAGCATTATCAAACGTTTCACGCCTTTGCTGCCGGCCGCCGCTCGCCGCGCCGGTCTGGCAACATCCCGAAACATTAAGCAAACGATTCCTTCAACATAGATTATCACAAAGTTAAGTTTTGTTGTAGTGTAGCCCCATGAATACTTCTAGATGTAATATAGTTTTAACTATATATAGCAACACGTCTTTCACTGACACATTGCATACATAACATATAAATAAACCTCAGAACAATAACTAAAGCAAAATAAAACTCCTGACGTTTTCTTGTTCTCGCTCTCAGGCAAATTACTTGTAAAATGGAAATATTATTGTACAAAAATGAGACTAAAATGGAAAATGTTAGTTTAGAATGATATTTAAGTACCTGTCAGGCTTGAGAAATATTTTTCGTGAACTTTACATAATATGTAGATATGTAAAAAAATTCAATAGGTATATCTTGTTTTTCTAAATGTTTCTATATCTTTTAACTCTCTGAAAAATAAGACTTCAAAATCTCAACCTACATAAATATATTTTTTTCTTTGATAAGATTAATAACTGTTACCGATAGCCAGTCTCAAGATGCGACGCAAGCGCAAAGCATTTTGGCTTGGTTCCACGTCTAGGAGTATTTCAGGAGCCGCCGGGCCGAGGTCATGACCCTCCACCTTACGCCCCTCACCCCACCTCCCCCATCTCTCCCACTGGGACGCCTGAGTCGCGACGCCGACGCTGAACCGCGTGGGTTGATACTATATTAGTACTAAGATGCTTGGCACATGCCGAAATGTGACCTGCATAACTAAATACTATATATAAATCAAATTTCAGAAAGAGAGCTAAAACGAGGTCCCTTAAAGAAAACTTGGTCAACGCGAAATGCACCTATTCACCTCCATGTATAATGTATAATAAAATGCAAGGACTTATTCATCTGTACATTTAAACAACATGACATAATCTACCTTATTACATTACGCGGCTAATGAATGCATCCACGACTTTTTCTGCAACAAGGGGCGGCGCTACTTAAAAATGAGGTGTAATACTTGACAGATTCCATAGCGGGAAAGTTAATTTTTTCGAAAAACGTAAAAATTATTGTTTCTTTCTTTACTGTTAGTTATAATTTATATGAATTAGATATAATAATAAATAAACCAAACCACAGATATTCATAGCATAATTTTCAAATATAGTAGACGACGCAGCCTCAGAAGCAGCGTCACCCTTGTACATATATGTCACTTCTGTAATTCCCGAGGGAGTAGGCTCGGGGTAGGAACTGCTTGGACTCGGATCAAATTTAACGGTAAGCGATTAACGTTTAAAAATTAGGTCACAGTCTTAAACTACGTCAGAAAAAGCTACTGTTGCTTTAAGATCGTCTGTTGTGCTATGTTTGTACGAGGGTAGTCATGAAGTAGTAATGGACAATATACCCCTGTACGCCTGGTTTAAGCCGAAGCAACAGTATTTTGGTACACTTAATCGATTAGGACATCGTAGAAAATATTACTGAACTTTATCAACAGCTTTTTTAATACTAGATCATACGACTAAACAATGGAAGAGATAAGACAATATGTTTATGGAAAAGAATTTCTTTATAACCAAAAAAATTACTCCGGTGTAAATTGAACTCTGGCACGATGAATAACGAAATGTATGTTTGAAAATAGCACAAATTTTCAACATTATCATGATTAAAAGAACAGCGATATCAAAGAATAAAATAAAAAACACGTTTTATTACAGCGTATAATTGATAGTTTGTTATGACATTGATTTAAATTTGGAATTTAAATTTAAACCAGCTAGTATTTGAGAACTATCATTTCATTTGTGACTTGAAAAACGACCTAATTCAAAACCTCATTAAAATTAAAAACTTTCAGTAAAATAATTGAAAAACAACAACACAAATCAATAACGATTATATAAAAAAATCTCATAAAAAGACCATAAAATTCTATTTCTGCCATAAAACGCTACACCACAACCTATTTTCTATAAAAATCTTTTTACATGACTGTATTTTCATATTCGATTTAGTGAATTTTATTGTAGCTGTAAAGTAGTTCTTTACAACAGGTACGAATACGTTACCAACTGTTACAACATAATGAAAACGGTACGTTATTCTCTCTTTTTCTTTCTGTTTACCATTTGTTTATTTTACTTTTTTAGGCTTCCGTATAACCGTGAAGTGGTAACAGTGTAAGAATATCCACTACACCATATCGTCCCGAGGTGACAAAGGGAAAATGACAGGAGATGCGGTTGCTTACCCAGTTGCCACGTATGGCAACTATGGCAAAATCTCCACATGAGACAATCTATGAGGGAGGCCTATGTTCAGTAGTAGAATTTATAGGATGTAATGAGTGGATGAATGGAGGGTTCCGTAACCAGAAAGAAAAAAATGGAACCCTTATAGGATCGACTTGTGGTCCGTCTGTCTATTCGTCTATCCCATTGTCTCAGGAACAGGTCCTTATTGAAATTAATATGAAATACTAAGTTCTGTGTAAGTTATGTAAATTTCAAGCTTCTAACTCCGCCGCCAGCAGTAACATATTATGATACTCGCAAACTGACCCATCAAATCCTATAGGATATTTCAATGATGAATCATTAAATTTGGTAATAATCAATACCTCACAACACAAATAAAGGGAAAATCTGAAAATTGTTAATTCATGTAAATTATATTTTTTGTGCCGTTACAATTAAGATTACACATGATTAAAACTACTTTTACGGATTTTATCGCGTTTATTTTTACTTTTTATTTATAATTCCCGACGTTTCGGGCGCTTTCCCCGCATAAAAAAGCATAAAAAAGCTGAAGGTACTCCGGGTTTAACAATGACATCGGGACGTCAGTCATCTCAGTCCCCCGTGACCATGGGTGCCGGAAAGCGCCCGAAACGTCGGGAATTATAAATAAAAAGTAAAAATAAACGCGATAAAATCCGTAAAAGTAGTTTTAATCATGTGCAATGTTCGCGTAAATATAAGAAATCATTAAATTAAGATTACAGTTGAAATGTAGACCGCGATATATGGAAGAACATATTTTTCCACCGCAAACTTGAGTATGTCCTTCAATCCGACTTACCTTTTTGTTATGTTCGATGCTCACCTTAGGTACTTATAAACTTCCGGGATGGATGAACTAACTATATAGATAATTAAGTTTATGCGGAACACTCACGTCGCAAGCCCTACTCGCACATGTCTGGTTCTTAATAAAGGGATAGATAAGATTCTTAAAAATGAAATAATAAAACTAAACAGATTTTTTTTTCAAACAAATTTCTTTTCCAGATACTCGAAATGCAATTAATATTAATTATTTTACAAAATGCTGTTTCACAATATAGCACGCTATTAAATTATTACAATAACTATCTAGAACAAAGATATTATCGACAGCATCAAAACGAATACTACGATTGGCCAAAGGAACGCGTAAGAAGATTTAATCGACATCGAAAAAAAAATTATTATAGAAGCGAAGAAGACTCAAGAGATGTGAATTACGATACTTACAGGAACTATTATGATTGTAAATGCTCCTGCGATAGATGTGCAAACCCTAAGCCATGTTGTACTGAAATGTGTGCGTCTTGCCCTTCGCAAACTGATGTCATATACGTACCATATCCAGTGCCATTGGTGGTGACGGTAACAAATAGTCCGTCTACACCTCCCAGCACCATTGCAGTTTCTGGTACTAATAGTACCAAGGCGCCATCTATTACTTTAGCTACATCAAACTCTACTGGAGATTATACAGAAAGGACTAAACCTTCTGATAAAACACAAACGCAATCCCCATCCACGCAACCACCAACGCCTCACTTACGATATAACAAGTTAAAATACTGTCCGCCAATGGCAAATTGTAGAGACGATAAAAACCAAGAGTACACTCAAAAAACGTATCACAGATTATTAGAGGACAAAAACAAATCGCCTTACAATACAGACTTTGCCAAATCCGAAGGACACACAAGAAGAGATTGGTTGCCTAGGTACGGTATCGTGCCGATCCCCGATCACTTAGCAATTAAGTTTATGTCGGAACTACGAAATTATAAGTAATATTGTGAATTACTAGTGGCCCCCCATCTTCGCCTAGATGAGATCTACAAATATGGCGTCATATGTATTTTTAAATTAATCATCAATGACCATTTATTTTATCAATTATTCCATTTCCCAAAAAATCTCCACTTTTTCGGACAAAATGTATCTTAGATCATTCTGTCAGTTCGTGGAGTATTATCACTAAAGGTTTAACTTATAAAATTTTAAAAATATTCAATCATGTCTTAATGCCATGCAAATAACCCCCTCAGCTTAAGACACATCGAAAAAGTAGCTCCGGGCTATCACCTTACTGATCGAAGTGAATACATAATTTCTATAAAAACTTAAAAAAACGCCGTCATAAGGTCTAAAATTGCATAGCGCCCGAAACGACCTAAAACCGCTTAGAAATTGTCAGAATCTTAAAATATTTAAAAAAATATATTTATTTAAGTACTTAATTAAAATAATGAGCAAGTAAATTATGAATATTGATGTTATGAATATATTTGAGTGATTCCCAAGCATATAGATTAAGTAATTTCGTTGTAATTTCAACTTTATTGTGATTTTTTAGGTGTTTTCGCAAATAATTATGATTGAGTCAAAATTATACAATCGTGTTTTTGAACGACCAAATTCCAGATAAGTACATGAATTTACCTATATCAAAATTCCACTTTCGTTAGTGGTGTCATAGTCCTATACTATTCGATGAAAGGAGGTGCATTTTTTCGCGGTGTCGCCTTCACATTAGGCAAACATACGCTTTAATTATATTTATATGCATTATTATGCACGTAAAACATTTATTTTAATAATTACAATAATTACATAAATTATGAAAATTATCATTCGGAATTTTCAGAGGCGATGGCAAATATGAATCTCTAAGATCGCGATTTTATTAGTGCTATTTGCCAGAGAATATCGATGCGTAGGATTAAACACCACAGCTTTCTGAAGTTTCCAAAAGATCTGTATTCGCGACTAGTTATCTCTTCTGATTTAAAAAAAACCTAATTTTTTGTTTTTCTTGCTGAAACCTACCTTTAAGCTAGGAAACGTGACCAGCGTTCTTAACACTATACCGCTAGGCATAGAGCTACATAGTAATAATTTCGGGTTTAAGCATTTCATTGTTGTTAATATTGAATATTATGTAATACCAACTGAATTAAACAATTTTTATGGATTTTACCGCCCCCATTTTCGCACATGCCAAACCCATCATTATAAAGGAACTTCAAATAGTTCAAAATCTCTTCTGTCGTAGGGCCACGAACTCGCCCTATTATGTCCGTAATGCCGACCTCCACCAAGACTTAGAGCTTCCAAAAATTCAACAGTTCGTCAAAACACTCTGAGAGATTTTTCAAAGCCTCAGAGTCCCACGCAAATCGCCTCATTCGTGAGATAACTGCCTATGCAGCCCCTCTTCACACTCGCTATAGTGTGCGCAGGTCCAGAAAATCTCTCTCGGACCCCCCCCTACAAGCTTTTGGCTGACCTGAACTGCCTCTTGGCGGCTCAGGCCGAGCCTACATAACACATCACTTAATCTGCCTTAGTTAGGCACACTTCTAAGCGGCTTTTCGCCGCTTGCGCCCTCCTTTCTGCCAAGGAGGGTCCCGTCTAAAGATCTCTCATCAGATCAGTAAGCCAATCCATAAAGGTGGAGTTTAGTGGGTAAAAGTCTCCACATAACCACGCAGCCGGCTGCGTGGTATGCTATGAGAATTCTTATTGCTTCGGGTGCAATAAAAATGGATTTTACCGCGTTTTTTTCAACTCATTTCATATTCCCGGGTTTCGATTGCTTCGCAGTTCCTTCTATTCCATTCCCATATGATGTTCATGTGTGTGGTGTGACACATGGTTATGTACTTGGAGCGTATTATGAAAAAAGGCCGACTCAGCTTGACGCACGTTTTTATAAATTATCAACTTTAAACAGCAGCATAATGCTGCTACCAAGCGCTAAGTTGACATCAGAACTGGTGTTTCGTATGAATTCATCGGTAAAAGTGCGTGAACGCAATTGTGTAGCTTGGTGACCTAGTCGTGATTCCCAGTTAGGAACTCCGCCTGTACCGGTGTACTTCTGCGGTGGCAGTACCTCCTGCGACATTAGTTTCGTCGTCCATCATGGTTGCCGCATCACGTTTCTAGACTGGTGTTTCGTATGAAACGAAACATCAGTCTAGAAATGGACACCCCTTTTACTAGTAGTAAGACATTCCATCATAATCATATCTTATGCAAATTCCAGTTATCATCAGTCATCAGACGGAATTTATGCACGTTTGTTGTATATAAAAGTACTATCTGTTACCCGCAGCTTCGCCCGCATGGTCACTGGGAAATGAACTTTTCGATTTGAAAGAAAACTGTGTTTTATAGATTTGTCAGAGATGCAGCCATTAAAAAGAAACTGAGCAAAATTGATCCGTCAGCCTATTTAAATGTTTTGAAACAAAGCGTATAGGAAAGCATGAAAATAGCCTGTTTATTTCAAATGGAAAAGGGATATTTTTTATTTAAAGGAAACTGAGCATAATTATCCGTCAGGGATGCAGACTTTTGAAAAGAAACTGAGCTAAATTGATTCGTCAGAGATGCAGTTTTCTGAACTGAAAGGAAACTGAGCCAAATAAAAGATCCGTCAGAGATGTAGCCATTTAAGTTGAAAGGAAACTGAGCTTAATAGGTCCGTCAGAGGTGCAGCATTTGGAATTGAAAAGAAACTGAGCTAAATAGAAAATTTTGAATTGAAAGGGAAGATCTGTGGGAATTCTGATTAATTGATTGTGGGAATTTCGGAAAAAAAATTGGATATGAAGTGCTCTGTTCTGTGTCCATAACTGTGTCTACTGACAAATACTCTGTTATTTCTCCTGCTATTTCGCTTAATATATCTGAATTTATTTTGTTATCGCTCTCATTTTTTGGTGCAAGAATCGCCCTTTCACATAACCATTTGTCTTCATGCATGTTGTTCGTTAAATCTGAATAAACGCTCGCAATTAATTCGGAATGACTCTGCAATAAATTACAAAAATCTCTCGTCAATTTAACGCAGCCCTCCGCATCCGTTTCCAACCTCCAATCGCCAATTTTTAATAGTATGTCAGCATAGTTTCCAGCATTGATATCATTATACAAATGCACACTCATATTCGTAGATAAACTGAATTTTGTCACCTTGTTCCATAAAATAGATGACTTGAGGCATGCTTTAATTTCATCTGCAGGTGTACCCTTTTGAATGACAGGTAAAGTTTGGCGAAAGTCACCAGCCAGTAAAACCACCATTCCTCCCATTACATCGGTATTGCTGCGCAAATCCTGGAGCGTTCGATTTAGTGCTTCTACAGCTTTTTTTTGCGACATTGTACTTTCGTTCCACACTAATAGTTTGCATTGTCGTAGCATTATACCTCGTGCACTATTTTTGCTAAAGTTGCAGATGGGCGATTCTTCCTGGGCTAGATTTAGAGAGTTGTAAAGGTGGGAGTTTTAAAACAGAATGTGCAGTGCGGCCCCGCTTAGCAGCGTGGCGGCTATACCGGAGGAAGCTACGGCCACAGCAATGTTTTTATCTTTCCGTACTTGCGCTAATAATAAATTTAACAAAAATGTCTTCCCAGTTCCTCCAGGGGCATCCAAAAAGAAAAGTGCACCATTTCCAGATTCAATTTGTCCTAATACTTTGTCAAAAACTCGTTTTTGTTCGGGAACCAAGCGGGGTACAAATTCGGCTACTTGCTGCTGCAAAGCTGGTATATCGTAGTTTGTTTCACGTATAATTTCATCACTTAGTTCATTTTTGGTTATTCGCTAAGGGCTTATCATTCCAAAGTCGCTTAATTTTTTGCCTACTATTGCCATTACTTTATCTTCAATTTTTGCAAGTGCTTCATTATAAATGTGTTCTTTGAATGTCATGTTCGCGTGTGTCTGCTGTAACCTTCGCAAAATATCTTCCACCATGTACTCTTTATATTTGTCCCACAATTCATGTGCATTAGATAGCCCGCAAGATGATATGAGAGTTGCATAAAGACCCCTAATTTTGGCTGGTGACTGGCACTGCACAGCTTCCTCCATGGTTTCATCCCAGTGATTATCGTTTTCTAAAAGATGCAGAGCTTCACAACTTCACATGGTTCTCTATAAGTTGCTCATTCCAGACCGTTGACAGTTTTAAGGTCTTTATGTCCTGTAGGACCCCGAACATGGTGCAGCAGCAATCGTAAACAGAAACATTCAAAATTAGTTACATGGACGGTATACACACGACCAAGGGCATCTGATGACTTTACACCGGGCCGATTTGCAACAGGCGCGCCTTGAATACGGCGTTTCCACTCCTTCCTAGATGTTTTCCAAGTATAATAGCGGGGGACTTCAGAATATAACAACGTTTTTGCAAAGGGGTCAGTTGGACAAAGTTGAAAGAAGGCTGTTAGCGTAGTTTTTGGCGGTGATGCAATTCTTTCTTGGAAATTTCTTTTCGGTGAAATCATACTCGCTCTCCATTTTCTAAGTGCACAGCAAGGTGAGTAACTGTTGGGTGCCTTTCGTGTAAAGGGAAGCCAAGGAGACGCCACGCTGCCTCGTTACTGCTGACATAACGCCCTGCTAGAAAGGTCTGTACTTCGTTAACGGGATTTGCCTCACCTTCACTCCTGAGATTAAATATTGCTTGGTCGCTTCCTTTATTTATGTACTTACAAATATACTTGATTGCGGGGACAGAGCTACATGCTTCTACATTAATGTGGGCATTAAACATTTTACATAGAATGGGCGAATACGGGGCAATCCAGCTGTTATCTAAGGTTTCGAACGCTCCAGAGCGAGATTTGATTATAACTTTCCTGCCACCATCTTCGGGAGCTCTGCGTCTGTATAAAGGGTAGCCATTGTCATTGTGCACTGTTTCTTTTAATAGCTGTTTAGAAAATTTCTTTGTACATTTTCCTTCTTTCATACATGGCGATAATGAA